TGGTTAAGACCGATTCAAAGACAAAGAAAAAAGGCCGTCTGTGAATGTCAAGGTTCAATACACAAAGCTAATGCACCAAAATAACGATCCTTATTTTAAAAAAAATGATTTTCTGCTCTAATCAAAATCAAATGGGATTTAAAAACTGCATTCACATGAAATAAAGATATTTATGCTTGTATAAAGCATTGTGAATTGTGTCTATGGTCTACAACTACAGCCTTTCCAGCAAGTGTGGCAGTTCCAGCCTTTTCAGCATTGTCTGCAGCTGGATAGCAAGCAGTACACCAGCACAAAGGAAACAGCCATCGATATTCTCTTTCCAAATTGTATTCTGCTCAAGCCCTGGGAACATTTTTTAGAGCTCTCAATGGTGTTGGAAGAGCTGGTATAATGAGACACTTCAGCTTGCCGCTGCTACAAAACCGATGTGCTGGCGAGCACGAGCAGGAAAAAACAAGCGGAAAAGCCCGACAAACTCGACCTGCGCACACTTGCTCCTCCAATGGGAATTTAAGCCTTGCAGATGCCTGTGTAATCCAAATCCTCCACTCCAGATACAGAGGAATAAGCCCAAAAACAGTAGACACAGACAAAGAGCCAAAGAAACGTGTTCCAGTAATATTACAACGTCTGTGGGAAAGGAAAGGGGATTATGATCTAGGCTCTGGTGGCGTAACCTAAGCTTACTATATTAATGCTTCAGCTGTCACAAGCTATACCTGACCAATAACTCCGAGGTGTCTGTGACAGATACTCCAAGCTTAATCACTTCTACACTTGTGCAAACACAAGGGATGTGCTGTTTTACTGCGGCAACATAAACCAGTGATGTATGACGGAATGTCATGGATGTGTACAGTACACCACGTTACAAGAGCTGCTGAGCTTTGTTGTAGAAGTAATTACTTATTTCTCATCTCGGGGGAGCCTTCAGAAGATGTTCTCTCTCATAAGAGCACTGGTATTTGAGATACATGCTGTCGTACAAGTAGTGTTGACAGTATTCTTGCTTGAAAAGAAAGGACGTGGTAAGGGTTTTGTAGATCACTGCTCACAGCTTAAGGGGTGAATGTACAATTAACGTATGCTGTGGGCCGGAAATAGTGAATATGTTTACTGTAAAACTCTCTATATTCCAGTATTCATAGTACGTCTTCTAGAAAACCATAAACGTCTGGTGCCCAACCTGTGGCCCAAGGTCCTGGATGGGGCCCATTGGCACCTATTGTGCAGCCCTCAAGGTCCCTGCTTCCTTAATTAGGTTCAGTAAAAGAAAATATTAATTTGATTGAAATCTAGCAGTTAAATGGTTTAATTTATTTTGTTAACATTATTTTATTATTATTTGCACTGTCCTTGGTCTCTAACAATTCTGATCTTTTCTAGTAGAATGTCTGCAATTTCTGACCATCACCTGTTGCATGTCTATAGTATCTGACAGCTTTCTAGAGCATTAAATTCACTGAATATTACTTGCAGCACTTTGGTGATGTCAAGTGTTGCACTTGAGGCCCCACATATCAAAAAAGTTGATTACCACTGTCATGGAACTCACTACCCCAGTCTGTTCGGCCATCTCCTACTCGGTCCACCTTTAGGAAACCCCTGAAAACCTCTTTAGAGAAGCCTATCCCTCTTCCACCTAATGACTGTACTTTTATTTTCTCCATCAGTTCAACTCCCACACTTATTACCTTTTGTATCACTTGACCCTTCCTTTTAGATTGTAAGCTTTAATTAGGAGGTCCCGCTGATTCCTTCTGCATTGTATTATAACTGTACTGTCTGCCCTCATGTTGTAAAATGCTGCAGAAACTGTGGGCGCTATATACAGTAAATCCAGTATTGTAATATTAACAATCAAAATAAACCATCAGCATAAGTGGACACCTATTCAAAGCTAAGGATGATGGGCAGTGTCAGACTTGTATAGAGTGAAAAATAGACAACCAACCCTACAGGATGACCAACTACTTCTGCGCATGTGCAGAACACTCCTATTCATTGCTATGGAGAGGCATAATAGATGGCATTTCCACAGGAGTTAACGAAGAGTACAAGTTATGCTTTTTATAATTATTCCAGATGTCTTCATGCTGTTAATATGATGCATGGGGTCATTTTTTGATCTTCATCTCAAGCAATGGAAGGCCTGATGCGATGACAGTGCCACTCTCTGCATCATCATACTATGAATGGAGAGAAATGTGATGACACTTCCTCACAAGGTGGGCCCATGGCACCCCACATTTACATTATGTCTTCAGTCTTCTGGGCTAAAATATTATTATTACAGGTATTTATATAGTGCCATCAATTTACATAGAACTTTACATACATATTGTACTAAGCAGAAGACTAAAGACACCCTGTGGCAAAAATAATTTACTGCAGGGAACAGCATACAGCTGCTTTTAAGATACAGAGGGATTTTTCAAATAAATAATTAGCTTGGAATGGGGTTTTAACCACAACACACAATAGCATGTATGCAGTAAAGTCTAAAGGGGGCCATAAACCTTCTAACTGCAAAAGGGACAAATCTGAGCCAACCTACCAAGTGTCTTGTAAGCATCAGACTTGGCAGTCTGTTTACTACTTTAAGTCTTTGTGACTGTTTACGGAATTATGTGCAATGTGCATCTTCTCGAAAGGGTAGAATATATGAGCTGATTTTACTTTGACTAGCCAGGTGGTGAATTCATCTTTATGAATTAGGAAGAAATATGCAGCTGAATAGGAATCTTTGTGCTGTGTGATTACGTTTTAGTAAATATTTACCCCTATTAGGAGATGGAACATACCTTTTCTGGTGTTTTGGCTACACAAGGAGAAGGAATAAATGAAGGAAGGAATGTATTGTATAGCGGCTGTTTATGCATAGTGTACTAGAAAAGGACCACCCCTGAGTTTTATCTCTATAGGAAAAGCGGCTATGAGGGTGTTTATCTGCAAACAGAGCTGAGCATGTCAACCCGCAACATGCCACAACCCATGTAACTACAATTACATAGAGGTAGTTTATCTTACGGAGGTTGTACAACTTTGGTAAAGAAACCATACAAGAGCTAGGAAAACAGCACAGATTATGGCCATCCTTGTGTGGAGGCCTGGTGGAGTATGGCTTAGGAGATAATGACCGGAACAAGGTGGTTTCTTTTAGTACAAGGTGTCTATGCTCTGACTTTTTTGTTTACAGTGCATTTTTGACTAGTAGAGCCACGCTTGCTTTAAGTGAGTACCTTATTGATACCCTATATGTTTTAAATGGTGATTAATTTGGGAGATAATGAGACTGAAATACCTCATAATGACAACATGAAAGAAGAAGTACATTTTTAAGTCTTTGCAATGTATTATAAATAAAAAAAGGGAAAAAAAAACATGTACATAAGTATTCATAGCCTTTGCCATGACACTCAAAATTGAGCTCTGGTGCATCCTATTCCCATTGATCATCCTTGAGAGGTTTCTACAACTTGATTGGAATCCACCTGTGGGAAATTCAGTTGATTGGACATGATTAGGAAAGGCATAAACCTGTGTATATAAGGTCCCACAGTTAACAGTGCATGTCAGAGTACAAACCAAGACATGAAGTCCAAGGAATTGTCCGTAGACCTCCGAGACAGGATTGTATCAAGGTACAAATCTGGGGAAGTGTACAGAAAGCTTTTTGCAGCATTGAAGGTCCTATTGAGCACAGTGTACTCCATCATCCGTAAATGGAAGAAGTTTGGAACCACCAGGAATCTTCTTAGAGCGGGTCGCCTGGCCAAAATGAGTAATCAAGGGAGAAGGGCCTTAGCCAGGGAGGTAACCAAGCACCCCGATGGTCACTTTAAAAGAGCTCCAGCATTTCTCTGTGGAAAGAGGAGAACCTTCCAGAAGAACAACCACCTCTGCAGAACTCCACCAATCAGGCCTGTATGGTAGAGTGGTCAGACGGAAGCCACTCCTCATTAAAAGGCAAATGGCAGCCCACCTGGAATTAGCCAAAAGGCACCTGAGGGACTCTCAAACCATGAGAAACAAAACTCTCTGGTCTGATGAAACAAAGATAGAACTCTTTAGCCTGAATTCCAAGCGTCATGTCTGGAGGAAACCAGGCACTGCTCACCACCTGGCCAATACCATTCCTACAGTGAAAGCATGTGGTGGCAACATCATGCTGTGGGGATGGTTTTCAGTAGCAGGAATTGGGGAGACTAGTCAGGATCGAAGGAAGGATGAATGCAGCAATGTACAGAGCCATACTTGATGAAAACCTGTTCAAAGCGCTCTGGACCTTAGACTGGGGCGACGGTTCATCTTTCAACAGGACAACAACCCTAAGCACACAGCCAGCATAACAAAGGAGTGGCTAAGGGCCAACTCTGTGAATGTCCTGGAGTAGCCCAGCCAGAGCCTAGACTTGAACCTGTTTGAACATCTCTGGAGAGATCTGAAATTGGCTGTGCACCGATGCTCCCAATTCAACCTGATAGAGCTTGAGAGGTACTGCAAAGAATGGGAGAAAACTTCCAAAAATAGGTGTGCCAAGCTTGTAGCATCATACTCAAAATGACTTGAGGCTGTAATTGGTGCTAAAGGTGTTTCAACAAAGTATTGAGCAAAGACTGTGAATACTTATGTACATGTGGTTATTTTTCATTTTTTTATTTTTAATAAATTGCAAAGATTTCAAAACGAACTTCTTTCACTTTGTCATTATGGGGTATTGTTTGTAGAATATTGAGGAAAAAAATGAATTTAATCAATTTTGGAATAAGGCTGTAACATACCAAAATCTGCAAAAGTTAAGCACTGTGAATACTTTCTGGATGCACTGAACATACACATGAGGGAAGTTCAAATCAAATCGGGACTTTTAATTTTACAGATATAAAAAGGGATGCTAGCATGGCAGTACTACACGCAGTAGTAAGTGGAAAGTGTGTCCTATTATTGATAGGTGGCACACATGTTGTGGGCCAGTCCAGAGACTGTTAATCAAGATGGCAGACAGCAGTGTTAGTGCATTCATGGAACAGTGTGTGGTGATAAAGTTTCTTGTGAATAAAGGCATAAAACCCACAGATATCTACAGAAGACTTCAAGCACAGTACGGTGATGAGACGCTCAGCCGCAGTAACATATTTGAATGGTGTAAAAGTTTCAAAGATGGCCATACGTTTGGCAGTAGCGATCCCGGCCGTGTTGGTTCCCAGCCCACAGCAGTCATTCCTGCTAACATTCAGCACATGGAACGCCTGAGCCTGGATAATCAACGCATAACCTGTCATGAAATTGCAGAAGAGACAAATCTTTCTGTGGGAACAGTGAACACAATAATGAAGTGAATCAGGCTGTCCTAGGATGGTTCAGGCATGCTGGCAAATCTTTCTAAACTGAAGCTTTCCAGGCATTAGTTAAACGCTGCAATAAGTGTATAAATGTAGCAGGGGAGTATGTTGAAAAATAAATGCAGTTTCCACTCCTTGAAATTTGTTCTTTTATTATATAAACTCAAAAAGTTTGACTTGAACGCCCCTTGTATTTATATTTATACAGTACATACATACACATCCTCAGTAATATGGCATTATAGGAAGAAATGTAGAAGTAGCTGCCACATAACAATTCTATCTTCCTGCAGAATAGTCATGCTTAAAACAATGACTGCACTCCACTACAGGGAAACCATCCTAATGAATAGTATAGAAATAAATTCTCTGACTTTCTATTCTGCATGTTTGTTCAAGGAACAGTGACTCAGAAAGGCAGGTAGAAGTTACAAATTAGTATTCTCAGGAGGTCAGCAATGGCATGATCTTAAAGGTAAACTTGTTTAAACGTGAGGAGGCAGTCTTCGGGAGAGATTTTTATTGCTATCTGCGTCTCATTAGGGAGATTTCCCTTCACTTTTTCTACTGTACGCTCAACAGGAATTGAGAGGATATCTTTTCAAAATCAGGGAATTCTCTTAGGACAGTTCTCACAAGCACAATTGTCACTACTGGAAGATTTCCCCTCTATTTCTGTTCTGGTGACTACTCAAAATTTTGTATTTACCCTTACCTTCCTTCCTGGTGACATTGGTGATTGGGACAATTAGAGGGAGTGAATCTCCATAACATGGACGCAGACAGCAATAAAATGTTGACAGTGGTTCTCAAGCTACTGTATATAAATCTATACCCTCACCATTCTATATAAATCAAAAAAAGATTTGCCTTTAGTTATTCGTGCTGAATCTGACAACATTTGAGCAATAGGTGACATAAGTGTTACCTGACTTGCCTAAGTCAGATGGAAAATAATTGGCTTGAATAGTGACTGCATCCTATCAGAGATGCAGTAAATGTTCAGCAGCACCATTGTATTCAGGCAGCCCTGAGTGCGGCAACAGCTGGCAATGGGGATTCCTCCATCCGCGCAATTAGTATGGATAGGGAACTTTGACTATCTTTGGTTCAGCCTTTGGGCTGACCAAAAGAAAATTAAGCTGTGTATGCCTACCTTAGACAATGTGGGGTTTATTTACTAAAGCTGGAGAGTCCAAAATCAGACTCCCTTCTGCATAGAAACCAATCAGCTTCTAACCTCAGCTTGTTCAATGAAGCTTTGGCAATGAAACCTGGAAGCTGATTGGTTTCTATGCAGAAGTGAGTCTGATTTTGGACTCTCCAGCTTTAGTAAATAAACCCCTGTATGTCTACCTTGGACCTTAAGTCATGTATTCCTATCCTACCTAATTTCAACAGCTCATTAATCTTGTTTCTCCAGTAGACAACACTATAGGTCTTGTTCACACCATGGTGCCGAGACATCAGTTTTTCTGCATGTGTTCTGCAAGGAGACAAAAAAAAAATGTGCCCTGTTCACACCACACCAGTAGTATCACGTGCAGATTTTCTGCGCAAGAATCTGCAACGTGTATAAAACGCACTGAAACATGCAAGAAAACTCAGTTTCCATCAGTTTTTATGCATGCATGGTGTGAATGAGCCCTTAATAGATAAGTAGTTGGATAGTAGATGAATGAGTAGTTGGATGATTCTATCAACTGCTGTATGCCTCTACCCATATCGTGGGCGGGTACAGTACCAACTGTAAAGTATGTAGATCCAGCACAGGGTTCATTCTCTAGTTGCCAACATCCCAAAAGGTATATACCCAAATGTATGTTTCTCAACAGTTTGTACTGGGACTTTTAAGGCAACTCAAAACAAATAATATAAACATATAAAATATTTTTTTTACAAAATCGTTGTGAAACATGATAATTTAACACATTACAAAAATGTTAAATTCATATATGAGAAGAAATGGCAAAATTGCCTGTAAGCTTGCTGTAGGCTGAAAATTGGTATTCACCCTCTCCTGTGTGCCAGAAGAAGGCGAAGGGCGAGTGAACTTCAGCTGAAAAGATCCAACATGTTTCAGAGCAAAAATCTTTCTTCAGAGGTATGCTGAAGGGGGAAGGATGGCCAAGAAACATTCATCCAATTTTCACTCAAAATCTAGGTCATCACAATTGTACAGAAACAGAGAATGATCTTCTCTTGATGTGCTCACCGACACCTCGCTGCACCAAGGCTAGGTGGAAAGAAGGCTCGGGGGGGGGGGGGGGGAGACCAGCCCCCAAAAGTGAACTTCTCACACAAGGATCATCATATGGAGACAGCGAAAACCACTTGAGTGGCTAAAAAGGCCAAAAATGAATCTATATCCCCAAAGAGGTCTCATGAGGTGAGCTCATTGTGGTAGGGCAACCTATTAGACGGTTGCTGTCTCCATACAGTGACCCTTGTGTGAAAAATTCACTTTGGGAGCTGGTCTCTCTCTCCCCCCCCCCCCCCCCCTCCTGAGCTTTATTTCCACCTAACCTTTATGCATCGAAGTGTCATTGGTGAGCACATTAAGAGAAGATCATTCTCCATTTTCTGTACAATTGTGGAGAGCTAAATTTCAAATTAAAATTGGATGAATGTTTCTTGGCCATCCTTCCCCCTTCAGCATACCTCTGAAGAAAGATTTTTGCTCTGAAACACATTGGGTCTATTCAGCTGATGTTCACTTGCCGTTTGCCTTCTTCTGTCACACAGCAGAGGGTGAATCCCAATATTCAGCCTACAGCAAGCTTACAGGCAATTTTGCCATTTCTTCTCATGCATGATTTAAACATTTTTTTTGTGTTAAATTATGATGTTTTACAATGATTTTGCAATAAAATGATTTACCTGTTTATATTTTTTGTTTTGAGTTGCCTTAAATGTCCCAGTACAAGCTGTTGGAGAACATACATTTAGGGACTGTTTGAGAAAATCCTTTTTAGAGTATCAGTTGGCCAAGGTTGTACTGTATTTGCAGAGGTGAAGGGGTTGCCCACAAACCTATGATTGTTTTCTGGTCAGATCAGTTGACTATCATATTATTTACAGTATTTGCGCAGCCTAAATAAAAAAAATTAGTTCTAAAAAATATTCAAAACACGTCAAAACCATAATACAGTAGCACTGTCGTTTGACAGATTCTTTGTAGGAAATATTGTAGTAACTGATCACAGGGAAGGCTTCTGGGGGTGTGAAAGATGTAATTAGTATCTTTAAGCTCCAGAGATGACCAGATACACAGTTAAACAGTTCTATGTTCTGCTCTCGACCTTGGAGTTTCCTTGTGACATTTTATAAATGTTCCAATTTTGATAACTGCACAATAAAGGTGAAATGTCGGCCTATCTTTCAGCACAAAGACAGAGACACAATAAAGAATTCTTGAAAAAATCTTTCTAACTGTGAAAATGATCCAATTTCTTGATGCCCTCCTTTGAAAATTGCTTGACAATTGACGCTCGTCTAACCTCTGAGAGCAAATTGTCTGAAATTTTAACATCTTTCATCGTTCCCACTTATCACATGAAAGCAAAGCTCAAAACTTGTCATTTTTAAATTTAGGTCAAGACAGCTGAACACACAGGAACCTCATCACTGATTGAATTACAGTATGAGGATTCTTTGCTAATTAATAGCTGATGCTAGGTGATAATTGGGAGCTATTTTTATTTGTGTAAACTGAAGTGTTGTAAAAACCCTGAAGGAGCACAGCCAATTTGGGAACAGACATTTTTTCACTGAGGTGGGAATTCTACAGACACAGGAGCCAGAACAGTTCTTGGAGTTCTTGAGCTGGACAGGGGCTGACACAACTAACCTCTTGCATTGTTGAGGTCAATCAATGGACCTCCATAAAAGTAACTGCCTCCTGTATAAAAGATTCTGAAAAGTGAAGTCTTTGTTGTTACAGCAAATCTGGTTCTCACGAATGCAAGAGTTACATCTTCCAACTCAGATGGTCAATAATTTGGTCTGAAGCTGTCAAGACATGACTGAAGCATCCTTCAACACATTGGCTTTGATTTAATAAAGGAGTAGACAGTGCCGTGCCACCCATGAAGGCAACTGGTGGCAGCTGCCTCAGGTGGCACTCATGGAGACAGGGTGGGGGGTGGGGTACCACTGAAGTTAGAGCATCCATACTGGACACTCCATCCACTGACTGCACTTTACACACATTTTCCTTAGCATAGTAAATGGGGTGAAGAGAGATGAAATTAATTTTGCAAAGAATATCCGATCATGTGCAAGGAAAATTTTAAAAACAATGTTTGTACATGATTGGATGATTGAAGTCAGTACCATTTCACCTCCTATAGATCCACTGGATTCTGGTTAAATAAAAAGACCTGAAATTAAAACAGTAAGTTATGTGTAAAATATGCTCTCACTGACCTTTAAAGCTTATGGCACTGTGGAGCAACTCACACTTAAAGTTTAAAAGTAATTTAAGCCAATCCCTACTTGGAGAGGGAAGCTGCTGAATCACTGCTTGGAGGAGGGGGAAGGGGATAGTGAGCTGCTGAGACTGCAGGGAAGGGAAGGGGGAAGGAAGCACTCAGCTACTGAGCCACTGCAGAGAAATGGGAGTAGGGGGAGCTGGGCTAGGGAGTTAAGCCTAGTAAACATGGGCTGAATGTCAGGAAAGAAACCATCTGACATTGGTTCTGTGTGTACAGCAGCCGGTCCAACAGAAGACGGCAATATGTCTGAGAGTGCTGACTGGAGTGTTCTGCCCCCCCTCCTTCTGTCAGAACACAATAGCACAGTGGAGGAGATCGCTGTACTAATATCAGATAGTACAGTGGCTCCTCCTGCGCTGTCTGTTTTTTTTTTTTTCATTCAGGCCACTGGGTTGAAAAAATAAAAACTAGTAGTGTGTACCAAGCTTTAATGTTGAGATGAGGGGTGAGGGGAGGAAAGCAGTGGGTGGGTAGGCTCAGCCAC